CAGTGAGCGGGAACCGGTCTATATGTGGGATCCGAACCCTCGGTGGGAGCGCCACCGCACTTCCCAAGCGGCGCACTCGCCACCAGGCCGGCCCCCTTAGAGAACTTTTATTTAATTAAAACAAACTAAAACAAAAACAAACCACAAATCGCAACAAAGGTTAAGAGTTACATTCTGGGAAGACCTCTGTACAAAAAAAAAAAGAAAAATTCCAACCCCCACACAGCAAGAAGGAATCAGCAAAGCCTGCCTTGGCCATTAGCTCACGCTTAGTATCCCTGCTGCTGTTACAACCAGTACTGTAGTGAGAAAACAATAGGGAGACCACAGAGAATCAAGTTTGTCTGCAGAAGGAACAGATAGTGCTGAGGACGTTTTAACAAGCAGTTTCTAATTCACCTCCTACCAAGCCTCTAAGCAAAACTGCTCAGATGTGACCAAAGTCAATTCCTGGATGGGGGTCTTTGGTGTTACTGCCATGCAGAGAGATGCTGAAGACAGTGGAATATTGGAATCGAGATACGTCAAGAGGTCAGACAACCCACAAATTTACTATTCAGCCCCTACACAACAGACAAAAAAAAAAAAAACCACCCAGTGTACAGGGGCTGGCTGGTTAGCTTAGTTGGTTATAGTGCAGCCTTATACCACCAAGGTTATGGGTTCAGATCCCAATACCGGCCAGCTGCCAAAAAAAAAAAAAAAACAGTATACAAAAATCTTGCTTTATGAAACTGTTATTCTACCTGCCTCTGAATTATTTTAAGAATGCAATGAACCAACCACAAGTGTCCACCCCATCAAATCTTCCATGCTCTCACAGCAGTTTGAATTCACCTCTGCCACCAGTTATATTCTCAACAATGTCAGGGAGCAGGACACCCAGGCATAGACCCCTGCCCCAATCCTCCTAGTTACAGGTGTATCCTCTCCAGAGTAACAACCTGTGTGCATTCTCCCCTGGCCCTTCACTGTAACATGGGATGAAATTCCAAATATAATTTCTAACTCTTATAAGAGTATATCAGTCTAAAAGGCTGGGAAGTGATCAACTCTATGAAATATAAAGTCAGGGTTAAGGTACAAAATGCCTCTGGAACTATTTTTATCATAACGTAAGAGAAATAAAAAATGTCAAAGCCCATCAAATAGGGGTACTGATTATTCACATAAATGAAGGTGGGGAGAGCGGACAAGAGGAGATTAGAAAGACAGGACACTAGGACTTGTGAGGGCTTTAACACCTCTGAATCTGGACTTGCAGGAAATAGACTGCAGAGACTGCAGGCGGCAGCCTGCACAAAAACCCCCGAGGCTCTCAGCTTTACCATTAGAGTCATTTGTGACTGCCACATCCCTTTGAGACAGACAGTAAGGCAGGGTCACAGGGCTACGGTCCCTTGAACAGAGTTTGCAGACCTCAGTCCCTGAGCCCCAGGGGAGGATGAAGCTCAGCTCACTGGACAGAGCTCTGACTGTGCCATCCACAACAGCCAAACAAACCTGGTCAATCAGGTTAAAATAGCAGAGT